ATTCCAGGAAAGATACTTCAGTAGCTCAAGGTACAAACATGCCTGCTTCTTGTAAGGGTAAAGAAATCGAGAATATGTGTCCTGTAACTCCTCTTTCCATGAGTTCAATGCACTGAACTATAAAAAAACAAGCACCGGCATCCTCTAGGTCAGAAGGCATAATACAAAGCTCCGTGCTGGTAGTTCTTACTTTATGAGCATCTTTCTCAATTTTGTGGTGATAGACAACAATGACTATTCATTCATACACAACGATGTCGACGCCACCATTTCTGTGAGAGAAGCTCTTTAAATACTATCATGTTAAAATTTGGAGCTAGTGAGGGCACACAAGAAGAAATCCATTTGGACGTGAAGCGTGAACAGTGAATCGGCGCCGAATGGCTTTAAATCGACGAGCTTCGTCGATAAGCGCGACATAAATTTTTCCTTCTCCACGAGCGGACTCTAATGACAGGGGGCATATCAGTTGTGCCCAATTTTTTTTTACTTTATTACGACACTCGTGCAGGTGCAGTTTCACCTTTTCAATAATGTTTTTGCTCCGTGCTCCTGGGCAACTCTCCTCCTAGAATTGACACAGCCTGGCATGAACTTTCAGAAAGAAATGGTGCTTTGGGACAGGCTCAAGTGTATTCATAGCAGAAAAAAATGCTATAGCTTAGGGTTGCTATTGGTGCTTTCGGAACAGATGCATGTTCCTAACGACTCCTGAAATCTGCAGCATCACTTAAGGGGGGACGTGGCAAGTAAAACTAATTTTTTTATTAATGTACTGTTTGTGATGAAATTTGGTGTGTGTATGTGGATGATTGTGAGGATTCCAAATATGAAAACCGTTTTCAAATACCTCTTGTACTTTTTGAGTTACAAGCATAATTATACTAATTAATGCTCTTCGCACTTAAAGAGATAATTATTGCTAAATGAAATTATTTTTTCATATTATTATGTTCCCAAAGCATCAACTTGTGCAAAGAAGCTATTAGTTGATTTTTCTAGTTCTTGTAACCATAAATAAAATTTCCAAAACATGGATGTTGTTTTGCGCACACATCGCAGTAATTATAAAATGTGTTCTAAAAATTTTAAATGATGAGTAAGAAGAGAGATAAAGCTTTATTGCACTGCTAAAGGCCTCCTGAGCCTAGTGCAAAAAACGGAACGACTCTATCAGTCTTTGTTAAAAAATGACAGATGTTCTAGCGAAGGCACATAGGCGAAAATCAAGAGTTGAGAAAACTGACTTTGAAAGTTCACTCTTGTTTGGAAGTTCACAACATGCCTAAAACACTCAGAATCCTCCTGGGCAGTAATCCTGAGATGCTGTGGCCTTGGCCTCTGTAGAGCGCAACCCAGTTTTGCGCTTCTTTGTCGTGGAACAATGCGTCTTTTGAGCCCTCTTCACCCTTTTGGCATCCTTTTCGGCTGCTCGCCGCAAAGAGCAGTCTCCTGGATTGAAGCCCAGTTGAGCAGTGATCTCTTGCAGCGCACTCTTGCAGCCACCATTGAAACGGCAGACTGCATCTGCAACTGCACTTTCCACACTTCGAAGGGAGGCGAACTGGCTCTTGGACTGGAGTGACCAAATGAGGCTGTTCATACTCTCCACAGCGTTCTGGGTTTTTCCCTGCGCACACCTTTCAAGGAGCTCTTTGTTCGAGAGGCGCTTGTAGATTGGCAGCAGTGCCACTCGCACGTGAGGGGGCAGTTTATGTTTGTGAGGCGGCAGCGGCTCTCCCTTGGCCAATGCCTGATTGTGCGGGCACCAGGAGTCAGTCCCACTTGGGCACAGGTCGTGGTGTGGATCCTGGTCTGTGGATGTTACATGGTACCAATAAGTGGCCATGATGGCCCTCTCCATGCCAGGAACATCGTTGGGGTGGCTCTTAATGGCCCAGCCATAATAATTCGTCAACTTCTTTATAAGGCCCTGCGTCAGCCGGCCTTTGCCACCCATGCTCAGTCCTCGGCCTTTGGATTTGTGCTCATCAAGAAGGTTGCGCAAGGAAGTGCCCATTCTTTTTTTCACATGGTTCACACACTCCTGTTTCTTAATCAACATGTAGCCATACACCTTGTCTTGCGTGAGGGCAAGGTACGTACGGCTGTCACCGTCGCAGAGCACATTGATGTATCGAAGCTTGTACTTGGTAAACGATCTTTCAAACATGATCCTCGCTGCTTCTACTTCCATTTGGCCTGCATTAGCATCGGTGTTCTTTTGGCACTGTGGCTTGTGTTTCTCAAGCCACTCCCCATAGTTGTCGTCACCAGGCTTGGGACCAACAGCACAGCCTTGGCAGTAGTTGGACAGGACACAGTGGTCCAAGACCAAGCCTGTGTACAGCTCGATTACACAGCCCACGCCAATATGACTTCTGTGCCCCCTCGTCATCCACGTGCCGTCGTAAATGACGTCAATGTTGCCTGGCACTCCTCCTAGGTCCTTGTAAATGTCATGCACCTTCTGTGCACTTTCTGCTTCAATGCGGGTGGCAGCTGATGTGGTGGCAGGGTGGCTGTACTTCCTTTGCAGTCTCTGGTAGGACTTGTGGTGCAGTGCTCGATGCGAAATGTCCATCGCAGAAAAAATGTCATTTATGGCAGATTGTTTTCTGCCAACTGACTGCACAGCCCTCAAAGCACGCACGTTTACCTCAAAGGGGTTCGTTTTTTGTTGCCCGGAGCACCTCGGGGACGACCACGCACTGTTCACTATGCCACAATTGTCACAAAAAAGTTCCATCCTCGCCGCGAGTCCAAGGCAGTGCGTAGTCTCGAGGCGTATCGACCCTTCGTCGCACTTGTTGCACTTTACTGACGAAAGCAGACCGTTCAGCATCTTCTTATTTACAATGAAGAATGTGGAGTCCTTACCGCCGTCATTTTCGTCGCAGCCTTCGTTCAGAAGCTCGAGCTTCCGCTTTGAAGCGGATTTCGATGCTACGGCATCCAAAACATCCCGCCTTGTCTGCGCCCGCTGCGCGATTTCTTCACTGCTCGGAATCTGGGCCGAAACTCGCGATAGAATGTTCGACGCGCGCACGCCCGGAGTTGCAACGGCTGCCGACGCGGTGCCACCGCAATCGGGTTCGCGAGAGCGTCCATCACGGTCGACGGCATCCGGCGGTCTGACATACGACGATGTGGCACCTTCCACACTCTCGGCCTCACAACAATCAGCGAAGGGTCTGAGTAGAGGCTCCGTGACGCTTGAAGAGCATGCTCCGTCCGGAACTGCGACTGGGACGGCAGCCGCAGTCGTCTGCCCTTTGTTCCAAGCTTTCCGACGCTTGCCGTACTTGTGGGCGCTCCGGAACTTTTTTTGCGACAACATAGCACCGCAGTATGAGCAAGCACTCAGAAGAGACCACCGATGTAAACAAAGCTTGGTAAAAAAAGCACGCGAACTATCACAAAAACAGCCAACTGGCAAAAAACGAAGCGCACGCCGGATGATTCTCGACTCGGCGGCCGCAGATGCGCTCGCGCTTCCAAGGTTGCCAAGGTGCGCGGCGCAGCTTTGACCAGTAAGAGGTCGCGCCTGCTACCACGTGACCCGCGCAGCCAATTGCCGTTCTTCGTTTTCGTTTTTTTACTTGCTCCTCGCGCTTTTATTTTCACTCGGCGAAATACGAGACCGCGACCATCGGGAAGCCGGCTTTCTCCTCTTTCCAAAGCTACCAAAATGGCGGCCCACGGTCAACAACTTGGCGCGTTTGTGCGGCGTGAACAACACCGTTTCAGGGGCTTTTTTTTCGCACTTTTCGGCGACTAGCCTCGGCAAAAACACTATTTGCGGGATTTGTAGCGCACGTTTCGCTGTAATATTTTAGAACAAGGAAGTTGAAGGTCTGAAGATTACGAAAAAAAATAAATCAGAAAATCGCATATTTTGACCAAAATCGGCACTTTACTTGCCGCGCCCCCCCTTAAGCAACTAATAAATACTTATATTTATTAGTAAGCATGCTGTATGCTAGTATGCAGCTAGTATACAAGCAGTATAGTTGGCGTAAATCATGGGCAGGAGGGGGGGGGGGGGGGGGGGAGGGTCAAGAGAGCTCGGACTTTTCTGGTGTTTAGGCTAGAGAGGACACCCCTTGCAAGTGTCCCACTTGAGATTTAGCTTTAGCACGTGATATAATTGAGCTAACAGTTAAGCAGAGTGCAATCAACTTTCTAAAAAGGCTTTTTATCTTTTACTACGTACCTGTGTTGATTGCCTTTCAGCTGTGTGAACTATGGAAATCGAAAAAAGGTGAAAAAGAAAGAGACTGAATAGAACAATGCGATTGCTCAAGCTTGGACCCCATGCTCGTTTTTTTTTTTCAATTTTATTTGAAAGCATGATTCAATTCTTATATAAATAAAAATATAACCTAAATTAAAAATACGAGTTCGACACCATGGCCTCAATTTACCTCAATTTCTTTACCTGATATGTGTCACCCCTTGAGATTTTTCTGGATTTATGCCATTGAGTAGCATACTAGAATGATAGTGTATACAGCTTGCTTTTGGTTTTGCTTAGGCTCACGGGATGGTCCCATGTTTCAACTTCATTCTTTTTAGTTTGCCAACACCATTTTTGGAGCATGTTTGGAGCAATTGGAGCAGCACTTCCATCACTGCATGTCTATGTTCCTTACTAAAATGCACACTGCAGCTTGAAACTGAACCAGTAACTGCCAGCATGAAACCAAAGTCATGGTCAGCAACGAAATGACAGTCACTCATCTACTCAGCTGGGTCGTCACTGAACACAGAAAATGACAAACTTCACAATACAGCACTGATGCAGATTACGATGTGTGCGGCAATTGAAATCTGTAAAAACGCTATTTTGCTCAAACTCACACAAACTTGTTTCTTATTGCTTTGATAGTATACAGAACACAAAGGTCTCTGCATAAGGGCAAAGTGAAGTAGAAAAACAAAGAAAGAAGAAAAAAATGCACATTTTTTTCAAGGACAACAGCAAAAAAAAAACTTACGCTTTCCTTGTTTCGCTCCACAGCAGGAAGAATATCCTTGACTGTCCTTTCAACGAGCACTCCACCAACCATTCGGTAACAGCGTCGGTCACCCTCAACTTTCTGAAGCGCTTCTGCAACTAAGCTGCAAAGCAAATTTATCTCGTTTAATTTTCATGGTAACTAACAACACAGAAGTTAAGCCTGTTAACGGCCACTGGGCTTAACTGACAAAGAAGGCAATACCTATTACATCAAAGCCTTTATACACTTTGTAGTACAGCATTTGCCCTAATATAGTCATTTAAAAGCAAAGATTTCAGAGCATCCTCCTGCAAAAGTGTTCTGTATGTTGTCAGCAGTGAGTAACCCATTTTGCCAAAATAATTAAAGTGGTGAGGAATCCTTTCTGCTATCATAAGCACAAAACTCACCAAAGTGCTCTTGCAAGCAAAAGTGCAGCGAATGGCAGTGTTCTGCGACATAGTTCCTATGTGCGTGGTAAATTTCAAATGAAGTGAGAGCACTGGGGATAGGAATTCAATTTTGCAGCATGTTATTAGCCAGTCACCAAGCCTCTGGTAACTGACATGGCGAAAGTTAAAATGTACTCTTCTCTTAGACATTTTTGCGAGTTCAAGACTACCCCAGAAGAGCTACAACTGATGACCTTGCCAGCCTGCATCCAGTCCGAACTGTAGTTTCTTTTATTTGTACTTCAATCGATACATAGTTTGGCAGCCCTTCCATCTGACAAGGCAAGTATTATTGTTAAATTTAATGAGAGTGGTAGCTGTGTAGAGTTAAATGTAGAGTCGCATACGCCTAGACAACATTCAGTATCTTGAGCTTTATGCCTCAACACAAGCAATAAAAGGTCTCGCAGAATCGAACACACCATTGAGGATTCGGTTTCGAATACTGTCACGGGAAATTTTTCGACAGTGGCGGCGAGCTTTACTATGTATTACGATGTTCTTGGGATACCTAGGCAGACGCTTATTAACAACACTGCCCATCAGAGAACATCTAGACTTGGTTCTTATCGATATGACTGGAAATGGACTTGACACACGGCCCTTGTAACTTGTATTTCGTAAACAACGCAGGCAGGCTTTACTACTTCATTATAATACGGTGCATCTTAAAGAGCTTTCATGTTCGTGAATCCATGCACAACACGGTAATGGTAACAATGCGTATGATTACAGGTGAACGTAATCTCTAGTTGGTTGAATAATTCAAACAGTTTGAGCTTGTCTACCAAACAACTTGAAAAAAAAATACACAACGAATAAAGCCGATGGCCACTTTCAATCTTTGAGGGTATAACATGCGAATAGAAATAGAAGCCACGTGATTCAACGGGTCAACTCTCGGTGTCAAGCAAGTCGTACCGGCCGCCCACGCGCATCGAGTTACGTTTTCCTTGCACGGGCAGAGGACCGAAGGTAGTAAACACATCATAGCAAACATTGCTCCATTTGTGCAGGTCCAGGGCTGGTTTCCAGCTGGTTTCAATGGTTTCCACAGACCACTACAGTGCCGGCTCGCCAGACAAAAATGCAAGTAAACGAAAATTGAGCAATGCGGCATGAGGCAATGCGGCGTGAGGGCGATCGCTTACTTGTGTTCGTTAAGTTCCATTTCCAGTTCAATAAGTTTTGCTGTCAGGGAACGTTGTTCTTGTCTCAGCTGGTTAAAGCCGTCTACAACACCTTGTTCCAGGGCTAGACGCTTCATTTCGTCTTTTCTCAGCGCCGCTTTCTTGTCACTCTCAGCGGCCATGATTGAAATGCTGACAGGAGGAATACAAAGTGAGCCGTAGTGGCTGCGGCAGCAGTAGTTTCGAAGCGAAAAACAACGCCATAAATCAAAGATAAAGTCATAGCCTGCTAAAGTACTAACATAGTTAAATTTAATTTTGATTTTTATATATTAATATACAATGATTCATATGATTCATGATATTCATTCAACGCGTACCATAATTATTTGTTGCATGGTCTTAGCCGCTTTAGCTTCAACGGAGGCGTAAAGCAGGCTTGAACGGAGGCTTTCCGGCTTGTTGGAAGCCTCGGAGGCTGTATTCTGGCTTTAGGAATAAATACGAGAGGGCAGCGCAAGCGCATGCGTAAATTCTGTGTCGCTTTTATTTCTCCCGTTCCTACCCCCCCTCCAGTTTCGTTAGCGCGCGTTCTGGGGTTCTGAGGCACTTCATGTTCTGAGGATCAGCAGTCAGAATTGGGACACCCGAGTGTCGCTCGTCAGGAGTTGCAGAGATGATTGTGACGATATTGCGCAGGGCAGTGAAGATGAAACGATGGGTCGGAGACCATGCAGTGGGGGAATATGGCGTCGGCTCTAACAATGCCAGAGGGGAGTTATTAGTAGAGTTCGCAGAACGTAATAATTTACGGTTCTTGAATACCTTCTTCAGAGAACGGGCTAACCGTAAGCGGTCGTGGCGAAGTCGTAATTGTGAAACTAAATATGCAATAGACTTCATTCTGCGTGCATACCCAGGCATTGTAGCCCCGTCGCTGTGGTTTAGTGGCTAAGGTACTCCGCTGCTGACCCGCGGGTCACGGGATTGGATCCTGGTTGCGGCGGCTGCAGTTTCGATTGAGGCGAGAATGCTGTAGGCCCCTGTGCTCAGATTTGGGTGCACGTTAAAGAACCCTAGGTGTTCGCAATTTCCGGAGCCCTCCTCTACTACGTCGCTCATAATCATATGATGGTTTTGGGACGTTAAACCCCACATATCATCATCATCATCATCATCATCATCATCCCAGGCATTGCACAGGATGTAGAAGTAGTTAGTCAGATCCGATGCAGTGACCATATAATGAAAAGAGCTCGTATTCACATAGATTAAAAAAGGAAAGGCATAAACTGATACGAGAGAAGCCAATTAATGAACTAGTGGTAATATGGAAAGTACATGAATTCAGAGTTTCGCTGCAGTGTAGATTCGGGGCTCTAAACGAGGTAACCAACGCTAGCGTTGACACAATGAACATCAATCTTACCAGTATCGTCAAATAGTGTGCAATAGAACATGGAGGTGGAGTCACTAGACTGGACACCGGCAAACTATCTCGGGAGACGAAAAATCTCATTAAAGACGACGAACCACGAGAGTCTCAAATGCAACCGACAATATAGACCTAGTGTAGCTTTCGAAGCTAATAAGCGCAAGTTATAGACGACATCAGAAGATATAACATGGAGAGAATTGAGCAGGCTGTAAAAAGCGGCAGATGCCTAAAGGCTGCGAAGGCAAACTTGCGCATAGGCAAAGCCTGCAGATGTATGCATTATGGGACAATCATACCTAACCCATATGAACAGGGTAGCTGAGGTGGCGGAGGAGTTCTACAGAGAGCTGCTCAGAAGTCAAAAGAACCAGGATGGTATTGTGAGACGCCATATTAGACCAAGAGAATTCGACATCCTACCAGTAACTACAGGGGAAGTAAGGAAAGCCGTAGAAGTAATGCAATGAGGCAAAGCCGCTGATGAGGATAAAGTAACAACGGACTTCCTGAAATATGGCGGAGAAATTGTGTTAGAAAAATTAGCCACCTTATATACAAAGTGTCTCTTGACGGGAAGGATACCAAAATCTTGTACGAACGCGAACATCATCTTAATCCATAAGAAAGGAGACGTCAATGACTTGAAAAAATACAGGCTGATCAGCTTATTCTCCGTTCTGTACAAACTATACTACAAAAATAATAGTCAATAGAATTAAGGCGATATTAGAGCTCAATCAACCAAAGGACCAAGTAGGATTTTGTACAGGCTACTCCACAAGACCATATTCATATTATCAATCAGGTAATAGAGAAATACGCGGAATACAACCAACCTCTCTACATAGCTTTCATGGATTACGGGAAGGCGTTTGACACAGTCGAGACATCAGCAGTAATGCAGACACTACGGAAACAAGGCATCAACGAACCATACATAAACATGTTGGAAGAAATCTACAGTGGATCCACAGCCACTATAGTTCTCCATAAAGATAGCGACAGAATCCCAATAAAGAAGGGTGTACGGGATGGAGACAAGACCTTTCCAATGCTATTCACCGCGTGTTTACAGGAGATATTCAGGGCCTTATAAATTGGGTAGAGTTAGGGATAATAGTTAATGGAGAATATCTTAGTGACCTACGATTAGATGATGACATTGCCTTGATCAGTAACTCGGGGGACGAATTACAGCTCATGATTACTGAACTGGACACGGAAAGCAGAAGGGTGGGTCTGAAAATTAATAGCCACAACACGAAAGTAATGTGCAACAGTCTCGACAAAAAAAAAAAAAAACAGGACTTTGCGATAGGTGGAGAGACGCTGGAAGTTGTAAAGGAATGTGTCTACTAAGAACAGGCAGTGATTAACTGTGGATCCGAACCATGTGAGTGAAATAACTAGAATAATAAGGATGGAGTGGATCAGATTAGACAAGCACTCTCGAATCATGAATGGTAATCTTCCACTAACCCCCGGAGGAACGTATATAACGAGAAGGTTATATATGTAACAGCTGCATCTTGCCGGAACTTATCAACGGAGCAGAAACCTGAAGGCTTACAAAGAGGGTTCAGCCTAAATTGACGACGACGCAGCGAGCGATGCAAAGGAAATTGAGAGGTGTAACCTTAAGAGACAAGAATAGAGCAGAGTGGGTCAAGGAACAGACCAGGGTTAAGGATATCATAGTTGAAGTCAAGAAGAAATGAACATGGGCCGGGAACGTAGCACGTAGGTAGGATAACCACTGGTCATTAAGGGTAACTGACTGGATTAGCAAAGAAGGCAAATGTGCGCGAAGGGGAGACAGAAAGTTAGGTGAGCCGATGAGATTAAAAAATCACAGCATATCCACGGAGTGAACGATGATGAGTGGGGTGAAGCGTCCTTCCGTCCATGGGTCCGTCCGTCCATGCATGCGTCCGATCACGTTCGAGAATGCAGACGGCGCACAGGTAACACCGACGAGACACGAGTCAAGGATGCGGAGCGCAAGCATCTTCAACGCACCCGCCACTCTACTTCGTCCATGCCCCAGCAACGATCCGCCATGTGGCGCTACCTAGGAAACTGAGAGAGGTATTCGTTCTCCACGCATTCAGGCAAAGCGCGCGCAGCAGCCAATCAGACAGTAGCGGTACTTCAGAGAGTAGCAGAAGAGTAACACCATCTAGGAAATTATACGAAAAATGGTCATCAATTTCTTTTGCCTTCTTTTCTTTCTCGTCTCTTCTTCTCTCGGTTGCGCGTGACAAGTGACAAGGTTAGACTAAAGGGAGCTTCGCCCCTAAATGTTCGCAGGTATAAGATGGCAGCAGAAAGCACAAGACCAGGCTAATGACCGGGGTGCATGTGCGACTAGAATGGCTATAAGACTGTAGGATTGCGCGTGTTGGTACAGTTTCCAACATATTGTTTGAAGTTCAGCGCTATGTGTCCTCTTTCGGGTCCCCTTCCTGTCAGTTGCGCTGATTTGCTAATAATGTTTGACCATAGGCTGGCGGCCTGACTAGGCTGCTGACATCGCACAAAGGCACCAAGAACATTGTTCTTTGGGAAAGGCCGCAAATGCGACATTTTCTCTTGCGTATTCAGTCATTCCAGCGACGCAGGCGGCGCCAGGTAGCCGTGCTCCGAAGCTGTCACACGGTGATAAAACAGCGACGCAGTTCGGTCTCTCAGTAGTCATAAAACAATTAACGCGTCTTAACACTTTACAACGCTGACGTAAACGCTCGTGACATCACCGTCTCGTCCGCCACTTCTACCTTCCACTGCGCCGTCTATAGTAGCTGGAATGGTTGAGGGGAAGAAAAACGCGGGAGATTTAAATGCATAGTCAAAGCGTGGTAGTCTAATCATTCTTTTTAACGTAAAGAATGCTTTTTTTTTTAAATGTAGCGTTCTATAACTTATGGTTGTTAAACAGCGTGCCTCCCGTGTACTTCTTCAATGGTGCATTCCGTTCTTTTTTTCTCGCTGGCCACGAAGTGTGTTTCTTTACAACTCGGAACTCGCCCAACTTTGTACCTTGCTCCATTAATTATATACTTGTGAGATTATCAGTTAAGAAAGCGTTCTTACGGGATTCAAACTAAATGCTGCGCATAGAAGCATATGTAGCGCGAGCAGTAGCATCCTTCTCGAAACTTACTCAAGTATTCACATGAGTTCATCCTGTGGGGCATGAATTCAGCAATAGCTTGCCTGCCGGTGCAGTAGATAGCATTCGAAAGAGAGAAAGTGTAAAAGAATTAACAAATATTAACAATTAGGAAACGAACAGTTTTCTTTGATGGGGACGCCTTTTATTTTGCAAAGGAAGTGATTACATATCACCGTATCACCCTCCTCGTTCGTCGCCGCCGTACTAAGCGCCGTGACGGCGCTTCCGCCACAGGGGAGTGATGTTACGGTGCATCATCGACAGGAGCAAGCGTGGCACTTAGCGAAGATGAAGAAGACGCCTGTGCGTTAGGCGCTTGCACGAGAGGCAACTCAGACATCTTGTTCGGCTGCCGATTCTCGGTGGACGCTGTCCTGTAAGCCAAGACCTCGCTCCGTCACAGTATATATATATATATATATATATATATATATATATATATATATATATATATATATATATATATATATATATATATATATATATATATATATATATATATATATATATATATATATATATATATATATATATATATACCGACTTCACCGACTTCCGCAATCGCCTTGAGAGGCGCTTAGCCAGCGAACGGTTGAGA